TAATTCGTATAGAGAAACAAGCACGACAACGCATTACACGGTGCTTATTTTGTTTTATTTGTGGTTATATAATCGAGTGCGATAATCTTCATTTTTTGGCATAAATATATTACATAATGCATGTATCTAGAGACAGGTTTGTGTTATAAACTGAAGTAATCTAAGGATGTACATCCTTCAAATTGAACATAAATGCATAGACCAGTTTGTACCTCATGTTGGCCAAGCCCATTGTGTCAACATGTTAGCTGTGTGCGCTCTGGGGTTTAAGAAGAGCAATTTCGGCTTAGAAGACCACCAGAGAAGTCGCTTTATAGGAAGTAGTCTTAAGGTCTATATTCATCTACCTATCTGTCTTAAGAACCTCGAACCCGAGCAGGGAATGTAAAGAGGCCGGTGATAAATGTCGTTGGTTTTACCGCGTTTTTATTTACCGCGCGCGGGCCCGCGGCGTATGTTTCGTCTTCCCTTGGGGAACATTTACGATAGCTCCCGGACGCTTCAACCAATAGGAGCACAAAAAATAATGAAAAAAAATTAGTGACATGACTCTTGTCATGCCACCTGGTCAGGTCAAGATCACAAACTCATCCCGCTGTTACTGGAGTATTTCGCCACCCGCCACTTGCTGGGGAACGGGGTGGGGTGTTTGACGCCTTGTGCCAATAAGTTAAGAACCAATAACCGCGGCGAGACCGGAGACGGGCTGTTGGCAAAAAAGCTCACGACAAGACGCTTTTGTACCTAAAAGTCAATTTCGAGGTCACGGGTCGATTAAGTTCAGGTTAAACACAACCATGGATTGAATGGTGTCTGCTAAAATGACAGCCAACATTGGTCTGTCAGCAGCATGCACTTTGAGGCCTCGTGTTGCGCATCTCTCTCCATAAGCGTAGGAACCATGGGTGCAAGGGTGCAGCTGCACCCACAATATTTCTCCAGTAGGTGCAGACAATGTATTCTGCACCCACAATAATCTGAACCAAAAACCCCTTTTCTCATCAACACTACTTCCCATGCAGCACGGCAAATTCAGGATATGTTGCCCACTATCCATCTTTCGAAGCATTTGCTTTTGTGATGGTCTTCAAAACTTACATTTGTGCTGAAGAAAAAAGGAAATGGAGCATGTGATTGAACACATACCGAGCCGATGACCAACTGTCAAAATTTTTAGCCCGATATCTTCGAAAATGGCTAGGTTGGCCGCTTTTACTTTTTGCGGTAGTCAATATTGACAACATTAACCCTCGCATGTGTGCGGCGTTTTCCAGCTTCTAATGTGTAGGAAGGGGGGGGGGGGGGCGCGGAAAAAAAAAACGAGGGCGTTGCCCGTGACGAGAGGAAGCCGATAATACCCAATTTTAAGGTCCTAGGTCATTGGTTGACCTTCCAGGTCAGGTCAATGTTCCAAAAGTCGTGAAAATCGGGACCTGCTAGAACTGCGTAAAGTGAAGCTGTTATCCGGTTTTTCGGGGTGCTGACCACGAATATCATGTAATACCGAGGTCATCAAAGGTCAATGACCTGACCTGACCTTCAGGTGACCTTCACACTAGAGATGTCAATCGGATACCAACTTTTTGGTATACCGATACCAAACCAATACCAACTTGGTATTTGGTATTTCAATCGTAATGTGTTTGGTATTTTGTTGGTATCATAAGCCCTCACTTATGTATAAGAGGCTAAGAAATCGGTAAAAAGTTGGTATTTCCCTCAGTTTCCCAAGTTGGTTTGGTTTCGGTATTTTTCCGTGGTTTTGGTTGGTATTTGGTTTGGTATCGGTATTCCGATTTTCCGTAACTGACATCACTACTTCACACCCACCGTGATGCATGGGACAAACATTATTTCACATATTTGGACGTCTACAATCACAAAAAGACTGGAAACGCGCGGATAATGTGAGTTAAACATACGCCAAATCGCGATTCCGGCCGAACATGGTCTCGAGAATCAGGTCACAGGTCAAAGGTCTTTTGGGTCAGGGTCATGAAATTTTCAGAGTAGGTGTAAAACTGATCAACTCGAGGGTACTTAAAGTTTCGTCGCGATCGGCCGCTTTTTGCGCGAGTTATTTGCGAAAAACTATGGGGGGGGGGGGCTCATCCGACCCCCTACACATGCGAATTAATGCCTCCAAATGCACTTATCAGTCGGTACCTTTTCGACATGGTATACACCCCCCTCAAAGCTTGTAACGAGCCTTCGCTCGGGTGTCGCTCCCAACCCCCCCCCCCCCCCCACCGCTTCACCGGCCATGGCTGGATGTCTGCACCCATGCACCCACAATGTTCCAGCCGTTCCTACGCCCATGTCTCTCTCATACGCTCTGCCCACATTGAGCAGAATCCTTCGTTGAAGTGCTACAGGAGTGTCAGGTTCATGCAGGGGTTAGTTAGCATATGTCAGGTCGAGGTCAAGTCAAACAGGTAAGGACATCTTTTCCCCAAATTCACAGCTTGCATTGGCGACAGAACATACCAGACACCTGTTTTATGGGTACTTAAGGCTTGATGGTGGCATCCATTTCAAATTTTTCAACACTGACAAGTACACTTTTGGTCGAAAAAGTTCAACTTTACAATTATTCCCATTTTGCCCGTGAGGTTATCACGATAAATTGCCAAGAATCGGTTCAAAGGTTTGAAGCTAAAACATAATTAAAAATCAAAGATATCCCGTTTGATTTCAAAGGGCATTGGGAGCCTAACAGCGTTAACCGCAAACCTCCACATCTATTCTGTGATTTTATATGATTTTTCAAACATATGCTATATTGGTCGAATTCGTAGAAATAGTATGACCGTATGACGTCTTTTAGTCTCAGTGAAGTCTCAGTCTCAGTAGTTTCAATCTTTGTAGGCATAGGTTTCTTTCAGTCTCAGTCCCCGTCTCAGTCTTTGCAGTCTCAGGTTCTGCCGTCTCAGTCTCGGTCTCAGTAGTTTCAGTCTCTATATCAGTATCTGTCTCTGTCTCTGTCCGTCCGTCCGCCTGTCTCTCTCCCTTCCTTCCTCCCTCTATCTCATTCTCTCGTGTTCGGGTTTTTATCAATTCTCGTGTACAGGTTTTTATCCGTTCACCATAGACGTAACCAGGAAAAACGTAATACGGTGACAATCCCTAACCGATGACGCGGAATGAAATAGGGCAGTAAAAAGCTCGACAAGTGACCAATCTCCAATTTTCCCACTGTAGTATTCGTGGACACACCCAACATTGGGTACCGAGGGTTCGCTCACCCACGAGGACTGACTCAAGGCAGTCGAGTGTCGCGTAACAACAACCACATTCATTACGCTAGCGATCATAAAACCACAATCCGGTTCCCTGAGTTTACCAATGAATACTTTGCAATACGGTACGGGCTAGGAAATTGCCGACACTTTCACAAATATTCTTATTCTGCCACTGCGAGCGGTAACCGGTCGGTTCGCTGCGCCGCGCTGGCTGCGGCCGGGGATCCATTTATTTCCTGCGCGTTTCTGGTTGATAGGGTTCGGGAGCATGTCCTACAGCTGAGATCAGCTGTGTGTTGAAATTGGTGGAGTTCGTGTCGCAAGCTGGCTGGTGGACAGCACAAGGTGGATCCGATGCTCATCTGCCATGTCTCAATGGATGTGCTCCAAGCATCAGCACCGTTAGCAAGCTTGCACCGAGCTTGTGGGTTTAATGCTGACGGACACCACCCACAACAACGTACCGGTCATCAGGTGAAAAGGAAAACACCGAGCTTTAAAGACGGAGGTTATGGAAAAAAGGTTAAAACCCGATCCGAAATAGGAATAGGGTGGGGATGATAGCTCCGGGTTTTGATAAATACTTCACGGAAAAGGAACCGATTCTAACGAACATCGGTCATCCTAGTTTTACCTAATCGTACATAACCTTCAAAATAACAAAACACTGGCCCAGAGCCTTAACGACCCGCGTCCCTTCTGAAGTCCACTGTTGTTGGCTTCTGAGAAGAAGTTGAATTATTCTTTGCTTGAGGAATGTGTGTTTGACTTCCTCGATCCTTATTTACTCATCAGTTTGTTTCATGTAATTATAACTGTATATTCAATATTATTAAAAAAATGTTTGTGCCGGTCTTTCGCATTGTGTGAAACATATGAATCTTGGCGAACCGCGATGCCATTGTCAGACTAGCAAATGAACGGACGGTGAATATCCTACGCAACACTACGGAATAGGAAGCTGAACATTACCGGCGTACTGTAAAGTGACTTCTTGTGCCTAAGATAGAAATTTGACTGTACCTATCTGTAACATTGGAAACCATGTTGGTACTATTTTAACATTGTAAAATTTACGTCCACGAGGAACTCAAAAGCTTTTAACACTCAAATGTTAACATATTACTCCATGGCGATAGATAATTTGTAGCATCTTTCGATGGCAGCACGACCTCACTCCACAACGAATCCAATGAAAAGCACATCCATAGGACAATCCTATCTCACTATCTGTACAGTTTTAACTATCGTACCGGAGACGTTACCCGCAATGCGATCGGACGACAGAGGGCGCCACGATCGACCGATACGACAGGAGTTGCCAAATGCGCCTTCACTTTACCAGAACACGCAATAGGAGTATATAGGCGCCACCAAGATTACTTTATTTACTAACTCCGTGGCTGGGCGCCACGGAGCCCAGCCAGCTGAAGCTCACAGGCAAATGGGCTGGAGGAATGCATTCCATGAACGGTAAATTACGATAATTTACCTTCATGAAAAGGATTGTAACGTGGCAGGCGAACTATCAGAAGCGATGAAAATGAGTGGCCGTTCGATATGAATTCATCTCGAGAAGTCAAGAATGAGGAGAATGAGCACTAGTTGCAAAAGAATGAGTGTACTGAATGAGCTACTGACCCCAACGAGTTGAGAATGAGTGTAGTTGCAAAACCCGAGACCCAGCCATCGCACACCCGCGCTGATGATGCATCGCTTCCTACCGGTCAACGCTTTCGGAGGAGATCAGTAACACAGTCTTCCTTGAGTGTGTATTTCCGCACACGTTGACAGACCATCGAGGTATACTCATACAAACGGTGATGAACGGTCTCAGTGCGGTCCAGTCCACGCGACACCGTGACACCATAGGTGTCACACAGTGTCAGTTCAGACACGGTGGCACGTCCGCCATACAGATCGACACTCGGGCCCGACACTGGGCACAACCCCACCCAGCGAAATTTCACAAACCAGGATGGTGTTATTACACTTCCACTAGCCGGCAGATCGAGGGACAGTTGGACACAGGACGCAATGTGACAATACATTACGGGCGGAGCTCAGCTGATTTCGTACAGCTTTCCCACTGTGTGATGAAATACGAGCAAAGCGGGAACAGTTCGATACAAGCGCGGGACAAGCGTTTGCAGACTCTCTGTGCCGCACGTTGCAAGGCAAGCACTGTCACAAGCACTGTCCCCCTAAGTTACGACTCTTGGATGATAGATCAGCCGTCCCCAGATATCCAGGCGATAGCCACACACGCGCTCTGCCTGACCTTGACCTCGTCAAAGGTCACTGCTGACCTCCCAGTATCACAGCCGGGCGCGCCGTCTGACCTCAAACCGCCAGACGGGCGCTGATTGGCTCTTGCAGTGGAGCGCGGCCGCTGATTGGCTCCTGTGCGGCGCCCCAACCCACCTGCCGGGCCGTGATTGGCTGTCGCAGCGGAGCGCGGCCGCTGATTGGCTGTCGCGGCGCCGACTCGGCCGCTGATTGGCTGGTGGCGCTACTCGGTGCCGTCCTGGCTGGCGTCCATTGGCTGGATGTCCTCCCGTCGCGGTAGCTGTCGGCAAGGTCAGGTCAGGTCAGTAACTGGCAGTAGAATGCTAAGGGTGTGCCAGAGGAACGCAATTTCTTTACTTCACTGGAAGTTGGATAACGAGTGGTGATATAACTATTAACCTCATCAATACAAATGCATGGAAATCGACTTGTTTACAAAGGATGCATACGTTTTGCATACATTAGCATTGAATGAGCAATCATTTACATAAGTATCAGACTTGTCATGACGATCAACATTTGTCTAGAAGGGTAGGGCCCACATTCGTCCATATTTATTACAGAGGATAATCAACATTTGTCTAGAAAGGTAGGGCCCATATTCCCCCATATTTATTACAGGGGACAAATAAGGGTGCAAGCCATACGAAGTCCTCCGTGCCTCTTGAATACGGTTCAAAACTCGACGGTAGAGGTCTCGATTTCGACAGCAACACGCGGGTTTGGTGGAGAGTGGCTAGATTCAAATATCAGGCAGCTTGACGAGGGAGCGTCACACTAGTTATACCCGACCTGGACTCCAGGTCGGGCATCGTGCTCCAGGTCCTGGAGCACGATGCGGTACCCACCTGCGATACGCGTTGAGTTTTACATTTCCAAAAGCATTAGTTAAGCCAGCAGTGGCAATTTCCAATGCTGAGCGTCATTCCCTAACAGCTCTTTTTAGCGTGTGCCCGAGTCTGCAGTCACTTTCTCAACTGCCTGCGTTCGGCTTTGATAAAAAAGTTTAACATTTGTCCCCCGGTCAATTACCTGGAAGTCCACTGTCCAAAGCAAATGAACGGGTGGCGTAACCTCAGGCTCAATGCTTAAAATAACTACCCCACGTCGAAGCAATTCACTAAGAATGTGGTCGCTAAGCGACATTCCAAGACAAGACTCATTTTTATCTTAAAAGCGTGGGAACGAGTGTTCTACGTATATGTATAATGACGTGTAATAGAGAATCGCACGCTATTTTTAGAGACGCTCCCCTCGTTACCGCTTAGCACGGAACCATCCTCTCGACCTTCTGAGGAGTTGAACAGCACACCTACATGGCGAAAACGTACTACGAGTGTTGGTAGCTGAACGACGGAGCGGGAGCATTCATGCCTCAATTACCCAAACACTAGGATGTTACTTCTAGAATGCATTTCATTTAAGTGGGCTATGAATACCTATTGCTTCTTTTGAATTCCTAAAGTGCAAAATTCTTCTGAATACATAGGTAAATGATTCTGGAAATCATTTCAATGAATCTTAACCAAGTCAATCAAACTGTATCAAATTCCAGTCAGGTAAATTCAAATAAATGGTGCCCTGATTTGGTACAGAAGTTTTCGTGTCCTATCATGCCTAACTACATTTAGAGGCAAGGATAGATGAAAGGCGGTAGAAAAATTCCACACTCGTCGATACAGCGTTAAGGCCTGGCTACACTATGCGTTTTCGTCGTGCGTTTTTTGCGTGTTTGCGTGTTTTGCGTGATATCGTTCTAGAAAAAAGAACGATATTACGTTTTTGTGATGTTTTTCACCTTAAATTTTAGTTACATAAGAGTTATATTAGCTTTTGTATATAACCAAAGTAAAAATTATATTGTTTATAACTTTTTTCCTAGAACGATATTACGCAAAACACGCAAACCTGCAAAAACGCACGCAGATAACGCATAGTGTAGCCAGGCCTTAATAATAGGACCATTGATGACGTGAAAGGGCATTCAAAATAATTTAGAGCAGAATTCCTCAGTCAAACCGGCGATCTATCAATAGCAAAGGGAAACATGACAAAACAACACCTCTGCACACCTGTGTTTTGCCGTCATTATCGTAAAAACAAGCGGAGAAACAAGAAATGGGGAGAGGACAATGAGTCATCCTCCCTGCGCCGGCGGCCAGTTGTCGAACAAGTGCCAGCAGACCCAGATACCGCGGTGGTGCGGTCTGGCGGCTGCGGGCTGACCGCCGCGCCCCTCGGCCACTGCTGGTGGCCACTCAACAGACCCCCGAGGTCAAATGCGCCACTCCACTCTGGCGAGTTACCACACTCGGCACCACTCCCTGCGAAACAGAACCGCAGACATGGGCCGAACGGGCGTCCAAATTAACTCTGCATGTTGCGCCCGCTGCACATTCACCACAGCTGCCCCACAGGCAGTCCAGCCCCGACAGTGCGGGCAATTCAAACCACTCGCAGCCACCGGCGGGTTACTGCAGTGCGTCTTCGAGGGTTGATAACCAGTCTGCGTCCTTGGGTCTGATTTTGGGCAGGACCACTAGTCCGGGACTAGGCGATGCTGGTTAGAAGCCGTCAGCCCACGTGGATCAGTGGCTCTCATGAGATGTAGCTTAAATGCGGCGCCATACGGAGTTTGCGTGCTTACAGAGGCCGGATTATCAAAACGGGATGATGGAGTGAAAAGACAGGACAATGGCATTCCGAGCCTTACTACAATGTCCGTTTACATGTGCGTGGCTGCAGCGTCCCGATGCAATTCCAGATATATGGAAGTTAAATTTGGCTTGGATAAGCTCACCGACAGTATACTACGTTCCACTCGAAGGGTTAGCTCATGGTTACATAATATCATTGGTAACCTACCATAGCCATTGTGCCTGCCAGTCTTGAGCTGATTAAAGTTTCGGTGCAAATAAAGTAGCATACAGGGGAAACGAGGATGCATTAACATTGCATGAACAACGTTTCCATGCGTTGTAATATGCAACCAGTCGCATTAAATCACAAGATAACATTGCTCATCGCAGAAATGTAATGCTAAAATATTCACGACTGTATGTGGGGATCACAACCTTGATAAGAAACACCGGAACATTTAACGCTCCAAACACGAAAGAACATACCGAGGGAAATGGGAATGACAGTGCCAGCCGGCGCAACAGGTAAAGTAGCCAGTGATCTTTGCTCTACAAGGATCGGTGGCTTCAACAAAAAGATGGACGCAAGCCAGAAAGACGCCAACACAAATGCAAAATAGACACAATAAACCGCATTTTACCACAATTGTTTTGAACATGAGACCATCATTTTCGAAATTTGGCTTTCAGCACAAAGAGTAAGAATGGGATGAGGGAAACGTCACCTGAAGTGACAAGACCGTTTGCGGGTGATTTAGAACGTAACGATATTAATAACCTTTATCAAATTTGCCCAATTAAGATGCAAAGCGTGTAAAAATCACTGTTTAAGCCCGTGCCACGGCGTCAAACAATGAAATGTTACGATCACAAACTTAAATGATAAAAACTCCCTAAGAGCCCGCGCTACTGACCCGCACTGCGATCTGGGAGGCCTGTATGGCGGCCCTCAGGATGAGACCTCTGGTCTGCTTGATATACTCCTTTCCGACTGCCAGCGAGCGCTCGAACGTTTGACTCCGCTGGTCCACGCTCTTGGCGTACAGGATCTGCCGAAAAAAGAAGTGTCAAATGTTAACAGGATTTTCCTAAAAAGAACAGACATGAGACGTATTCAAAAGATCTGTCGAATGTCGGAGCTGCTATGCCGAAAGACATGCCGTTAAAGGTGACAAGTCAGCATGGAGTGACATTTTATCTACTCGCAAAAGTATCATATGCAGCAGAGATACGCATCTTACGAACAGAGTGTGCACACTCGGAGAGGCAGCTAAAAGGACCGAGGACAGGCAAGATTGCCGTTACATTACCTAAAGGGAAAGTACAGGCTCTGATGTAGAGCACGCAGAAAACAGAAAACGTTAGCTAAGTGAGCGGGTAGAGGGCCTGCAAGAACTCTCGGTCAGCTAAAGAGTGACTCGCGGAGATGATCTGCAGGAGAGGCGTCGGGTCGGCTACAACGAGTCGTCATCTCACGTCTCTGTGTGGCGCTAAATGCCTGCGGACTGACGTCACGTCAGTTTAGGCAATTGTGAACATGATATTTCACCACTCCGCCGTAATGCTTCCACATACAACACATCTCGCGTCAAGCAGTCCGCATCAGGTCACATGAAGTGTTTAAGCCAACTGATGTGCATTAATACGCTTGGCGGGAATAGCAAGGTTACGCGAAGGATAAACAACAGAGGACTGGGCGAAAGGTCAGCGCAGTCACGGGTCACATAATCGCTGGTGGCACCAGCGTCAAAAGCACTATATCTCCTTGAAAACCTACTTAAGGGGGTATTACATTCCTGTAAAGCGACGCTTATGCCATGCAGAACAACGCAAAAGCGCTACTAGCTCCACGAGCGTTGCTTTAGTGAGACACAGAAGCTTGGTTGCTGCTAAGACGCTGATCTTCGGATTATTGTTGCATAAAACGCTGTCGTTTTTACCAACGAATGCAATGTGAGGAATGTACGACCGTTTCGCTACTGCGTTTTTCTGTCTTTTTTTTTGCATGATCACAAAGAGCATGCCTTCAGTTAGGCTGACTGTAAAACATGTTTCCCTTAAAGAGACATATCTATCATTGACTTGGAAAAGTTAAGTTGATGCTCAAACACCGTAAAATATAAAGGTGGCCCTTACCATCAATTCTACCAATTCTAACAGAAACCCTTGCCTTAACCCTCGCCCTGGCAGGGGGGGTCGATGCGACCCCCCTAAGGTTTTTTGAAGATAGCGTAAAAACGGCTGGCACAGCTTATGTGGCAACCTTTTTACATATGACCTGAAACTTTCAGGTCCGGGTGACCTTGGATCAGGTCACCAGGTCAGAAAACCGGTACAAGGTCATGGTCAAATTTCAATTTTCTTTTTACACCTGTCCAACTCACAGTTTTGGACTGATTTCCTTCAAACTTTCAGGATGTGCTAAGGTCACCGAGTTGTATAACATATAGTTCGGGTTTTTTGAGGTCACTGACCTGAGGTCAGTTAGAGGTCATTACGTCGTAATGTTAAACCTATGGGAAAATAATAAATTCGGAAAATACTGGAGATATCCGCTTCGTTCCATCACTTTTGTGCTTTGAAACCACAGTACGTAACAGCAGGTCACTTGGTGCTTCTTTGTTTGGTGTACTTATCCATGGGTCAGGTCAAATGAGGTCAAATGACGTTTTTGCCAATAACTTGGGACATAATGACACTAGAGCTACAAAATGGTGTCATTGTGTTCCTGGTGATCAGCCGAATCGAATGATATACGATATGATGCAATTTGGTTAACTTGAACTTAATTAATTATTTAAAGTTTACTAAATAATTAAGAAAAAACTTTAAGTACACTTAAGCAAGCTAAAAAGTATATCATTCGACGCGCCTTGACGTGCTGACTGCTGAGTTCACTGGTGCTTTTCTTTTTGCTCTATCTTAATTAGATCAAAAGTTATAAGCGAAAAACTTTTGACCTGTTTTTAGCGAAATTTTTACATTTATACCCCCCAAAACCCCCCTAAATATTGACCTAGAGCAACCAAATTTGCACAGGGGAGAAAACTCCAGGGGGCCCACCTAACTACCAAATTTGGTGTTTCTAAGTGCCATAGGAGCCAATCGCGAGGGGGGGGGGTCGCATCGACCCCCCCCCTGCCAGGCCGTGTTATGAAAAATGCCCTGCCAGGGCGAGGGTTAAGGCATTTGATCATTTCCAGGTGAATTGTCGAGGATCCTATAGTGTGTTTTAGCATACATTCGGGGATAAATCCACAATCTCAGCTTCATCTTCTATAATGTTAAAAGTGAACGAATTATAGTAAACTTGTATGGATTATAGTTATTTTCAATCCGTCTTTTCAGCTAGGCCTGAAGTTATCTGCTTTAGCGAGCGTGCCCCATTCAGAAATTACGAGACACTTACTTTGAAAGCTTCAAATAACATCATCTTTCCCCTGATAAATAACACCAAGTTCATCAGGCAAGTAACCACAAAGCTGATAACAATGAAAAATACATCTATAAATAGTAAGAATGAATTGCTTAATACTCTATCCAATTTCCGACCACACAATGTTGGAAATACCTACGGTAGGGTGGATGGGTGAAACAGTAAGCCCTCTACCTTACGAAACGTGAGTTTTGTGCATTATACATATATGGCCATTGGCCAAAGCAGAATGGAAGCAATGCTTAAGAAGAAAAATAAGAATGTAGCGGTATAAGAATCCTGATATTACGGCCAATATCAGGATGGACGGCATCGCGTTACTAGGCAAAATAATCGAAGATTATACCTGAGTCATAACGGTAACCAGGCGTTCTGGGCAGTCGTCGGCTTTGCCACAGCTAATGCTGGTAACGACAGCTAACATAAGCCCATGTGACACGCGTGCCAAATCTTGCTGAAGGCACACTCCGCGGCACCCCCGGGAGGATTTTCCAGGCACAAAAATTGATTCAATTTTCATCGCATATTAAAGGGACTATCCCACCTTTAACATGGGGTTTTGAGATAGCCAAGTTTGCGGCGAGGTTCAGAAACCACTATCTATCTAGGTTGCAACCCCCGCGGCCTCTTGGTGTTGAAGAAATTCGTTTCCTTCATTTGGAAATGGGCCTTGCGCAAGGCCCTATCTTCAACATGGAGCGACCGTTAGTGTGACGTCACCTCGTTTAGTCATTCTGATTTAAATGGGTTTGTTCGTTGAAAAATCGCTTAAAACTTGGTCTGAACTTTGTTGTGGTGCCTACAGAGTAAAAAGAATCAGCTTTGTGACAGTAATGTGGCCTTGGGAAGGAGGTAATTTTGGGCTGTGACGTCACATATTTGAAAGTTTGTGTTTGGAATATGGGAAGCCTAAGATGTTTAATGAAAAATAAATGCCAGAACCGTGTTCCTGGTCATCTAATCTATAAAGTCGGGCACAATTTAACTGGTTTTAACAACATTTTAGATGGTGGGATAGTTCCTTTAACCCTAGAACGCCTAGGGGGGGTTGTATCAACCCCCCCCCCCTGAGGTTTTTTCGAAGTGCACGCTAAACGGCTTGTCGTAGCGGGCTGAAATTTTCAATACCCTCTGGGGCAACCTTTGCGCATCTTTTGCCGAAAAAAATTGATCGGGTCATGTCAGGTCACGGAGTTATGACGTCATAAGAGGTACAGCCTCCGGCCGGATTTTCACAAACTGAGTGCCAACGCCCGAGGTTTCCTGCCGGTGGTACAGACATCGGTTGATGGATCGTGATGAAACTTCCCATGCATGTTGGGGCAAGTATTGGCTATCATATGGTATAAGAAATTTGACCGGGTCAGGTCAGGTCACGGAGCTATGACGTCACAAGAGGAACAGCGTCCGGTACTATTTTTGAAAAGCGCCCGAACCACTATTTTGCTAATTCTTGTCACCTCAATGGGAATATGCAGCAATATTAGCTTCTATAGGGAGCAAATGGACCTCCCAAATCCAAAAATGCAATCAGATTTCAAAAATTTAAATTTTGATTTTTCGAATTTCTGCCGCCGACTGTGACCTTGCCGACTTCCGGCGCTACCAACGCGCCATTTTTAGAGCTAGGGAAACGAAATACATACCAAACGATAGAGAATTGATCAAGGAACACGATAGTGAAGGTTTCAAGTCGATATCTCTAACCGTTTTGCCGCAATCGCCGCCGAAAGTTGAAAAAAGTATATTTTTCCGAAAATTTGACCTTTGACCGGTCAAAAGTAGGTCAAATGTTGACCTAGGACCAAAAAATATACCACCAATCGCGAGATCTCGTTGAGAGCAATCCGTTGGTTTTTTCCGCTAAGCTCAACGACCTTCCGTTTCGAAACGCCAGGGGGGGGGGTCGTAACAACCCCCCCCCTGGTCGTTCGTGTTATGAGAAATGGCCTGGTCGTGCGAGGGTTAACGTCCCCATAGTTTTAACCGCAAATAGCACGCAGTAACCACCTATATTCGAGAATTAAGTGTCAAAGACAGTAGTTACGGCTGAAGATACTAGTATGTGTAATATGGTTAACGTAGCGAGACTAAAATAATTCCTAAATTCAAAAATCAGTAGAGCAGAAAAGAAAAAGACATACAAGTAGTTCAGTTTAATATCAGACAAGTAGGGGAGACCCGTGCAAGACGCCTCCCTTAAGCGAATTCTCTTCCCATTCCTTATTCGTTGGACATATCAGCCTAATTTCTTCACGGACGTCTAGATACAACATTTTCCTGTCAGAAAATCAGTATAAAAACTATTATACGGCTCAGCGATGAGATATCTAATTGATTTTCTGAAGGCTTGCAAAGGGGCGTCTTACAATTAGGGGGAGATAAGTCGCCCACCCCCTGGGCATCTTATCATATTGCTGACTGAAGGCCTGAGATCTAGGAAGTTGGCTGTATTAGCGGAAATTGAACAGCCAATTCACATTAATTCGAACAATGACAATACAAACTGTTTCATAGCAAAACAGGACAACACCTGAAAGACAGCACAGCTTGTGCACATCGGTCTGCGTCAGTTCAACGTTCTTAAGCTCGGTAAGAAAAAAAAAACATTTC